GCAAACAGGAAACTATAGTATGCAGAGAATGAGCCTCTGTATTCCATTTCTACATTTCTTTTGCTATGTTTCACAATCTATCTATCTACCCATCTGTCTATCTACCTACCTATCTATCTATCTATCTATCTATCTATCTATCTATCTATCTATCTATCGTGTGTGTGTGTGTGTGTGTGTGTGTCCATGTGCACATGCCACTGTCCCGCCTGGAGGTCAGAGGACAATTTGCAGGAGTTTGTTCTCTCCTTCTAACATGGAGGTTCCAGGTATAGAATTCAAGTTTTCAATGAGTTCCATTACCTGCTGAGCCATCTCATTGGCCCATTCTTTTTTTTTTTTTAATTGACTGTAAATGGAACACTGAACATAGGATTGTGGTAAAAGTTATTAAAGATATGGTGGAGAGCTTTGAGACATCTATTTTGTAACAAAATAAAGACAAGCATCAATCCAACCTAGAGGAGCTACAGGGCTTGTTTGGTTTATGTTCTCTCTCATTCTTTGACTAGAGCTGTCTTGGTTTCCCTCGGTAGCACATCTGCTTCCTAACTGCTGTCTTTTCTCTATGGTGCAGTCAGAATGGCGTTTCTGAGGTACTCCTCTTATGCCCTTCCTAGCTTAAACCAATTCCTACAGCCTTCATGTCAACTCTTCTCTTCTAGTTGTGTTTTGCATTTCTCTTTGCTCATTCCCTTTTGCCTGAAACAACCGGCTCTATTTTCAGTCAGATTGCCAAGTTATTTTCACCTTTGGAGTCGGGGTACAAGCATTACTTCTCAGAAGCCATCGTTGGCAGCTCCCTCCTCCATGTCTGAGTTCACTTTCTCTCCTACTGTTCCCTGTACAGTGCACCCAGTATTGTTTTGTTATTTGCTATGCACTTCTGCATCAGGAATGCCACTCAAGGACTTTTACTAAGCTTTCTGTTAGCAGAGCTCTACTACAAAAACAATTTTAAGTCTTCATACCACAGACATGAAGTAAAGAAATAAAATAAGAATGCATTCGGTTCCATGGTTGTAGCAGGAATCTTAGCATTTATTAATAAAATCAAACCTGAGGCCAGTTATTGGGGTGAATGCTGGAAGATCAGAGAAGCAGAACAAGCCACAGCTTTCTCACCTCAACAGTTCCTCAGCTGGTCCTGTTTCCTCAGACTGGAAGCTTCTGTGTCCTCATCCCAATGGCTCTCAGCTGAACTGCTGCTAGAAGCCTAAAAGCTTAACCAGCTAAAAGCTTCTAGTTTCTGGTCTTCATGCCTTATATACCTTTCTACTTTCTGCCATCACTCCCTGGGATTAAAGGCTCACTTTCCGGGATTAAAGGCATGAGTCACCATGCCTGGCTGTTTCCAATGTGGCCTTGAACTCACAGAGATCCAGACGGATTTCTGCTTCTGGAATACTAGGATTAAAGGCGTGTGCTACCACTGCCTATCCTCTATGTTTAATATTGTGGCTGTTCTGTCTCTGACTCCAGATAAGTTTATTAGGGTGCACAATATTTTGGGGAACACAATACCATCACACATGGTTATTAGCATTATATTGTAAAATTTAAGCCAAGGTGTGAAGTACAAAATAAAAAAGAATGAAAGTGAAATATTGTATTTTTAAAATAATATTAATCAACTCTTGAAAATACAAGAAAATCTCCTAGACAAACCTATTAAACTAACAAAAAAAGTAACTTAAAAAAAACAAGTATGTTGCAAATGATTACAAATCATGGGTAAACAGTAGCAAAAAACCTTGGAAAATATGGCAAAGGCTGGGTACACAACTTAGGAAAAAGCTGCATAAAACTGTGTATGAATTAACTCAAATCTTAAAAATTAACCTATAGAAGACCCATAAACCAGGAGATTTACCATGCTTCTGAAAGACATCATTAGCTGTAGGCTGTATCAATATAGTAATTGAATGCAATAATATTATAAATCACAATTTTGACTTTGACAAGCTATTTTTGAAGTTCACTGGCATATAAAATAACAAAGAAAAAATAAAAATGGAAATCAATTAGAGGAAGTGGTTCAGCTTTTAAAATGTATTAAAGTTATAATTCTTAAAATCATGTTATATGGTCAGCCCTCTGTAGCCAGGGGCACCACACCCACAAATTCAAACAAACATGGTTCAAGAACATGTGAGAAATCTACATCTGTTCTGAACACGTGAGACTTTTCAGTTTGGCAGTTACTGTAAGTTATCTAGAAGTGATTCAAATAATCCAACAGAATGTGGTCAGATCATATGCAACTAGTGTGTACCATTTTCACTTGTGTATCACAGGTCTGGGTATCCACAGGGGTCCTGGAACAAGTCCCTGCAAATAGCATATGCATGAATAGTCTACCAGATACCAGAAGGCATCCAACTATCAGAAGGTGTTACTATCTAAAACTAGTGTAAAATAAAAGTGCAGTCACATAGAAATACAGGAACGGATGAAGCTGTAGGAATTGCAAAAAAAAATTTAAGCTTTAAAGTTTGCTTCCAATGTTTGTGCTATGTATAATTTCCAGGTTAATGAATTAAATATAAAAGAAGTAAAACGTGGAACGGAGAGAAAATATACTCTGATTTTAAAACATTTTTAAAATATAATTTTTATTAATTCTTTGAGAAGTTTACACATTGATTGTATTTTGATCATATTCACCCTTTGCCCAACTCTATTTATCATTATATCCCCATCCAACTTTGTGGTTCTTTTTGTTTTTGTTTTTTAATCCACCCAGTCTAGTTAGTGCTGGTATGCACTCTTGGGTGTGGCTAGCGACTGGAGTATGTCTCATCTACCAGGGGCCACATGCTTAAATCAAACTAACTCTCCCTCTCCTAGCAGCTATGAATTACTAAGTGAAGATGGTCATTGCCATGGAACATTGAAAAGAAAAAAAAGGTGAAAGACATTAGGAATGTAGGGGGAGGAGGGTGAGATGGGTGGATGGTGGTTTTCACTGGAGTGGCCCAAGCCTCATGAAAAGACAGTGCTTAAACACAGCATATAGATGTCATATCAATGCAAATTTAAAAACATATTACTAATGAAAGGAAAATCCAAATGATTTCATAATATTTCACCTTTTATGTGATATACACTTAAAATTAAAAGATTGGGGATGATCTCTGGAGATCTTAGGCGATACAAGGAAATTCTGATCTGTGTAATTGTTCGTGAAAGCAATGGGGTAATAAGGAATAAGAAGAATTACCAATGTTTAAATATAATCATTCTACATTTATGAATGTATAATTAAAATGTCATTAGAAATGTTTATAAAATTATGTAAAATTATTTATTTGGATTTTCAAAATTTGGGTCTAATACACATTTCCACAATGGGGACAAACTAGAAATTATTATGGTGCATCCAATTAATGTAATTAAAAAAAACACCTAATGATTTGAAAGAGCATTTGTGCATAGAAAATATTCCAAAAGAAATATACCAATGTTAACTATAGGTATAAACTTCTGGGGATAGGATTATGGATGCTTAAAAATAATTTCCCTTCTGACATTTATGCATGATACTTTATAAAATTATATATAATACATACTAAAAACCTGATAGTTAAAAATGAAAATAGTAGAAAAGTTAAAAGGCAGTAAAATTGTTGGGCTTGCTTTTATTAAAGTTTTATCAGTTAGTATCCCTTCAGTTCCACCGTCGCCCCTCACTGTACTCCCTCCTGGGCACTTGTCTCTGCTTCTTACTCCTCTTCCTTCTGCTTTGCTTCTGATGGGCACGAGTCAAACGGTATTCACATGCTTTCTTCCTTGTCAGATTGCAGCCAACAAAGGCATTTGTAACACCAGCCTTTCCCATCATTCTCTGCAGCTCAGGAGAATCTTTCTATGTACTAGTAGTTATTTAAATTTCCTTTTCTGTGAATTTGTTTTACATGGCCCTTGTCCAATTTTTTGGTTATCTGTCTTTCTGTCTATCTGTCTATCTTCATCATCATCATCATCGTCATCATCATCATCAATCATGTATGTATGCATGCATGCATTTATTTCTCCTGCCTGTTACCCTGACAAAATAGCTGAGATAATGAGCTTTAAAAAAGGAAAAAGTTTGTATTGGCTCAGATTTCAGAGGTTTTGATGGAATGTGGTTTTGTGCCTATTATAACTCTGTAGGTCATGATGGGAACGTCAGCTAAAGGAAGTCAGTTCATGTTATTGTATTTGTGAGGCAAAGAAAGGAAGAGGAGGCGGGGGTCTCAGTGTCCTTTGTAAGGTTCTCCAGTGACCTAACTTTCATTCACTAGGCTCCAATTCCCAAAGGCACCATAGGCTGATGACAAAGTCTCTCACAAACTTCAGAGGCATTTCAGGCCCAGACTTTGGCCTTCCTCACCCTTCCATCTGTCTGTCCATCTTGCTAATTTGAAAGCATTCTTTCCTGCCCTGTTGGGCATCTTCTTTCAGTCCATCCCCTTCCTATACATTCTTCAATGTCAATAGAATAAACTGAGTTTTGGTCCATCAGTTTTTTTTTTTTTTTTTAAATTGGTCTGCCATGTTAGTCGGTCACTTTGCATTTCAGTCCAGTCCCTGAGTTTTCATGTCCATTGTTTTGCTCTCTTCTCCTTCTTCATCTTTCTCTTTGGCATCTCTCTGTTAACAGCATTATAAACTAAATAGTTTCCTTTTACTTCCTTAAGCAAAGATTTCTACAAGTTTCTTTCTGCTGTTCTTTTCCTCCCAAGTCTTCCAGAAGGTTCTCTTTCCTGTAATTCTTTTCCTTTTGGGGTTGCTCCATCCTCAGTTGGAAGCAGGTGGGAGGGTGCTTAGCCCCTCTGCTCTGACCACTGGCAGTGTGGCTGAGTCTCTTGGCTGGAGACACAGATGGCGGGTAGGTTGGTGAGCCCGGCAGCTCACACATTTCCTGTCTACTTCTGCTCTCTCAGACAGAAATGGGATCCACTCCTACGTCCACTGCCGGCTTGCTAGCATATGGAACAGATGGACTGCATGGAAAACTCTAGCCCTGGTTTTTACTGCTTCTATTTCTATCTTCTCCCTGGCCCATAGTGCTTTATTTATGGAGACTACTATGCTGGTAGCCCACAGCCTAAGTCTTGCCCAGGTGTTTTCTGAAGAGTTGCCCTCTCTAGATGTAGATAGGGATAGGGGTCTGTAAGATGAGAAGTCACCATCTGGATGTCTTAAAAAAATATCATGATCTCAGTGAATGACAAGCTGCTGCCTTTCTGACTGATGATAGCATCTATGTATTCATCAATGGAGCATCAAGTGGTGGAGAAGATGCAGAAGTTCTTCTACGATCTTGATGGACAGTTTAGTTTTCTTTCCTCCTTGACCACATTGCACAACGGGTCCCCTCCTGTGGTGTGAGGCCCATGAATCTGGGCCTTGTGCCAAAAAGGTCAGAGTCTCTCACTTTGTTACTCAACTCTTTGTTCTACTTTTCATGGGTGTTAATGCTATTCATTTCTTTACACCTTCAGAGCTGTTTTAATGCAGCTGGAGGAAGGAATCACTTAAAGCTGATTCCTGGTTTAAGAGGCCTAATTACATCCCTTATCTTAGAGTATCAGTGATCTCTATGTAGAAAGTTTTTGAGGAATGCTAACCAGCCAGACCAAGACAGCAAGGAAACATAGGCTTGGTCCAGTTGTAAATATCTAAGTAAGTAACTTTCCATGAATAAGATGCTCTTTTTCTAAGAGATTTTGAAATTTATTATTCTTATCATAAGTCAGGATCTCACCATGTAGCCCTGGCTTACTTGGAACTTGCTATGTGGACCAGCCTAGCCTTGAACTCCCAGAGATCTGCCTCGCTCTGCCTCAGGAATGCTGGTGAAATGTAATATTTTTAACTCCTGCTTCTACTGTCTAAAAAGTTTTGTAAAGATTTGAATTTTAGAAAAAAAAAAACAATGTGTCTTTCTGAATCCTTCTTGTAGACGAAAGTATGAAAATGAATAAAATGTCCTGGATAAAATGCTTGGGTCTAGAGAGAGTGAGAAGCGAAGATGACAGAAATGCAAGAAGCGGCACAGAGTGGGTGTGTGGGGCTTGGTACACTGCACGGATGCTTTTGATGTTGTCACACAGGTAAGAGCATAAACTTTTGTACCACGTCACAGGTAAAAATGAAAGGTGGCAATAACCTTTGCTTCCATATAAGGTCTAGATCAGCTGTATGCAATACTGCCAGGGAAAATGGTGTGTGCCCACCTGAGTTTGAATTTCAGATAGATCATGAGTATCTTTTTTAGTATGGGCTTGTCATGCCCCAATATTCAGGGCTTTAGGAGGCCTCTGAACCCTTGTAGTGACACCTTCAAGCTAAAACAGAGGAGAGGCTGAGGAGGCCAGGTGGTAGAATTTTGCAGACATTTGTTAGGGTTCAGTGTCGCTGTCACTGTTTTCCAGTGGGATGAAGGGAGTCCGTTTCTTTATAGCAGAGCATCCTGACATGAGCCTGAAGGACTTGGCACTTGTAGCCGGAGCCAGAAGGAGCTGGTGTGTTATATTCCTAGATCACCGAGAGCACCGAAATTGGAAGACTGGCTAGAACTACGTGCCCAGCAGCAGACTGAGGAGATGAGGCTGCCCGGAGAACTGTCTCCTAGACAGTCAGGATGGGGACCATGTTTCTTTTGAATCAGATGTGGTTCCACGGGAGGCACCAAGCTTCCAGATGCTTTTCAAAACAACCCCACTGAGGAGGGCTTCCTTCCATCAATAGACGACACTGGCCAAAAAGAGACCATGTCGCAGTTACAGATGAGGGAGGTTACTGCAGGTGATAGTAAATGAGAGAAGACTTTAGAAAGCAGGGTAAGAGGAGTTTCCATGAGAACTGTCCAAGTGTCCTGGAGAACGGCCAGAGAGCCTCTGTACAGATCCCTCAGTCCCTCTCACTTGGTCCTTCATTCCTCATCACACATTTGAGTGGACAGACGCTAGGAAGAACTCTTTTGTACTGCCCACCAGGCAGCCATTATTCTGATTTTCGGGATGTGTCAAAGGATCAGGGGACACAGACACTTGTTCTTCCAGAGTGTCTTACTAGAATACATCACAGATGGTATACCAAGCTTGGTGAACACACAGTCGATTATATGCTCTACATTTAGGTATAATCAGAAACCTGGGGTTGCCAGTGTACTGGTATTAACTAGAGAGCTCAGTGTTGATTGGAGAACCCCAGGCTCTTGGGGGGAAAAGCTGCACTATCTTATGGGATATATCAGGTGAGCTTGAGCCCAGTTCATTTAGAATCTCGAGGAATAAATGAATGCATATCATGAATGGGATAATCATTTGGGACATATGCTATGCTTTTCAGCTGGCCAGAAAACAGTACAGTAATAGTACTAGCAAAAGTCCCCCAGATACAACTGTCACATATTACAGAATGTATTAGTTTCTGTTCTTCTTATTACAACCAAACACCTGACAAAAAGCAACTTGGGTGGGAAAGGAAGACTTTATTTTGGCTCATGGTTCAGAGTAATGCAGTCCATCTTGCCATGGAAGGCAGGAATGGCTTGGTCAGTGACTTGGCCGGTGACCCCGGTCAGGAAGCAGACAAAGAAGAATGCCAGTATTCAGCTAGATTTGTCCTGGTTTACCTTTTCTTCTTCATTGGAAAATCAACATTCTTCATCACAAAAAGAAATGGAAAAAAAAAAAAAAAAAACATCCGGAGGAAAACGTTACCATCAGTCTTTTTCTCTTTTATTCTCCACCTCCCTGGTTTGTGGCTGTGGTTGTGTTAAGACAAAGGAAAGTGTGGTGGCTCAGCCCTGGAAGCCAGCACTAGTGAGAAAAAAGCAGGAGGAAGAGGAGGAGAAGAAGGAGGAGGATGAAAAGGAGGAGAGGGAACAGGAGGGGCAGGGAAGGAGGGAGACAAGGAATGGGGAGGAAGGAGTCAAGTTCTAGGCCAGCTTGGGCTGGGGTAGGGGTGGAGATTGATTCTAGGTTGTTTTGCTGTTAGAAACAGAACAAATACAGGGTAGAAGCAACAGTACCCTGGCAAAGGTGGAGAGCACCACTGAAAAGGAACAACATTTCTAATGGCAAGATGTGAGTGAGAGGTTGAAAGAGAAACACAGCTTTCAAACATGCATTTAAATAAGAGAGAGCATGGAGTCTGAAGGGGAAAAGGGGTGGAGGAGTTGAAGGGGAGTGGAGAATGGATTTGATGAGAATTCATTACATGAATGAATATTAAATAAAGTATTTCTTCAGAGACATAAAGTTCTTGTCATACAGATCTTTCACTTGCTTAGAGATACCCCATGGTATTTTATATTATTCGTGGCTATTGTAAAGGGTGATGTTTCTCTGATTACTTTCTCAGCCTGTTTATCATTTGTATATAGGAGGACTACTGAATTTTTTTTGAGTTAATCTTGTATCCTGTCACATTACTGAAGGTGTTTATCAGCTGTAGGAGCTCCCTGGTAGAATTTTTGGGGTCACTTATGTATACTTATGTATACTAGCATATCATCTGCAAATAGTGAAAGTTTGACGTCTTCCTTTTCAATTGATCTTCCTTCGTATCCCATTGATCTCCTTTTGTTGTCTTATTGCTCTGGCTAGAACTTCAAGTACTATATTGAATAAACATGGGGAGAGTGAACGGCCTTATCTTGTTCCTGATTTTAGTGGAATCGCTTTGAGTTTCTCTCCATTTAATTTGATATTGGCTGTTGGCTTGCTGTAAATTGCCTTTATTATGTTTAGGTATGTTCCTTGTATTCCTGATCTCTCCAAGACCTTTATCATGAAGGGGTGTTGTAACTAAACAAGTGAAAGACCTGTATGACAAGAACTTAAAGTTCCGAAGAAAGAAATTGAAGAAGATATCAGAAAATGGAAAGATCTCCCATGCTCATGGATTGATAGGATTAACATAGTAAAAATGACAATTTACCAAAGGCAATGTATAGATTAAATACAATCCCCATTAAAATCCCAACACAATTCTTCACAGACCTGGAAAGAACAATACTCAACTTCATATGGAAAAACAGAAACCTAGGATAGCTAAAAGAATCCTGTACAACAAAGCCACCTCTGGAGGCATCACCATCCCTGACATGAAGCTCTACTATAGAGCCATAGTAATTAAAACAGCTTGGTACTGGCATAAAAACCAACATATGGACTAATGGAAACGAATTGAAGACCCCGACATTAACTCACACACCTATGAACACCCGATTTTTGACAAGGAAGCCAAAACTGTACAATGGAAAAAAGAAAGCATCTTCAACAAATGGTGCTGGCATAACTGGATGTCAACATGTAGAAGATTGCAAATAGATCCATATCTTTCACCATGCACAAAACTCAAATCCAAGTGGATCAAAGACCTCAATATAAAACCAATTACACTGAATCTGATAGAAGAGAAAGTAGGAGGTAGTCTTGAATGCATTGGCACAGGAGACCAGGTCCTAAATATAATACCAGTAGCACAGACACTGAGAGCAACAATTAATAAATGGGACCTTCTAAAACTGAGAAGCTTCTGTAAAGCAAAGGACACAGTAAACAAGACAAAATGACAGCCTACAGAATGGGAAAAGATTTTCACCAACCCCACATCTAACAGAGGGCTGGTATCCAGAATATATAAAGAACTCAATAAACTAGACATCAAAATAATGAACAATTCAATTTAAAAATGGGTTACAGAACTAAACTGAGAATTCTCAAAGGAAGAATTTCAAATGGCTGAAAGACATTTAAAGAATTGCTCAGCATCTTTAATCATCAGGGAGATGCAAATCAAAATGACTCTGAGATACTGTCTTACACCTGTCAGAATGGCTAAGATCAAAAGCACTGCAGACAGTTTATGTTGGAGAGGATGTGGAGCAAGGGAAACACTCCTCCACTGTTAATGGGGCTGAAAACTTGTATGGCCACTTTGAAAATCAGTGTGAAGGTTTCTCAGAAAATTGGAAATCAATCTTCCTGAAGACCCAGCTATACCACTCTTGGGCATATACTCAATCATACCACAGGAACACATGCTCAACTATGTTCATATCAGCATTATTCAACTCACTGAACCTGGAAACAACCTAGATGGCCCTCAACTGAAGAATGGATTAAGAAAATGTGGTACATATACACAATGGAGTACTACTCAGCAGAGAAAAACAATGACATCATGAAATTTGCAGGCAAATGAATGGAACTAGAAAATATCATCCTGAGTGAGGTAACCCAGACTCAGAAAGACAAACATGGTATGTATCCACTCATAAGTGGATACTAGATGTAAAGCAAAGGATAACCAGACAACAACCCACAACTCCAGAGAAGCTAGCTAACAAAGAAGACCCAAAGAGGGATGGATAGATCACCCTGGGAAGAGGAAATAGATGAGATCCCCATGAGTACACTGGGAATGAGGGGTGGGCAATGGAGGATAGGCGATAGGGGATGAGAACATAAGGGAATGGGATAGTCAAGCTGGAACAGGGATGGAGTGGGAAAGCAATGAAAGAGATACCATGATAGAGGGAGATATCATGGGGATAGAGAGAAACCCTATGCTCGGGAAGTTGCCAGGAATCCCCAAGGATGACCCCAGCTTGTACTACGAGAAATAGTGGAGAGGGTGCCTGAACTGAACTGGCTTACCCCAGTGATCAGACCAGTGAATACTCTAACTGTAATCACAGAGCTTTTCTCCAATGACTGATGGAAGCAGATGCAGAGATCCACAGTCAAACATCCAGCAGAGCTCTAGGAGTCCAGTCAAAGAGAGAGAAGAGGGATTCTATGAGCAAGTGCATCAAGATCATGATGGGGAAACCTGCAGAGATGACCAAACCAAGCTAGTGGGAACTCATGAAAGTTGGATCAACAACTGTGGAGGCCTCATGGGACTGGACTAGGTCCTTTGCATGGTGAGACAGTTGTATAGCTTGGTCTGCTTGGGGGGCCCCCTGGCAGTAGGATCAGAATCCATCCCTGATGCATGAGCGGGCTTTTTGGACCCACTACCTATGATGGGACACCTGGTGCAGCCTTGATGCAGGGGGAAGGGCTTGGACTTGCCTCTACTGGAAGTGCCTCTGCATGAGAGGCCTTGCCTTCTTGTTCGGGGGGAGTGGAGGATGGGTTGGCAGGGGGAGACTTGGGGTGGTGGGAGGAGGGAAGAGGGGGGATCTTTGATAGATGTGTAAAATGAATGAAAAAAAATTCTTAATAAATATAAAATATTTAAAAAAGAATTGGTGTTTAAATATATAAAATACATTCACAGATAAAGGGATACAGTTTAATTTGAGCCTTCAGTTATAGCCTTTCAATTATTTTAGTTTGTCAAAATAGTGTTTCCCTGACTCTAGCTAGGCACCAACCAGGGTCATGGTTTCATTTATCAAATGTCACATTCACAGGAACACACTCTGTTGAAGAGAATTGATTATCACAGGGAAAGGTGTAAATACAATGTAGTATATAGATCACCAACAAATGGGCTATGGTCATGTGAATTGATTTCAGTTTCAACTCTGATATTTATTGAGTAGAATAAAAATGGAAAAAAAGAATAATTGCATATGATCATGAATATAATTGAACACATCCACAGAACTTCCTTTATGACATACAATGTTTAAATATGTTGACTGTAGATTTAAACCTAAATGATAAATATACTACGTTGAGTTCGATTAAGAAGGCTAACAGGGAAGCAATAACACTGGACAGCCACTAACAAGGTCCCAAGGTCAAGCTCATGAGGAGGATGTACTGTTGACTTCTCTCATCCAGAGACATCCAAGCTCTGAGACGCCACTGCCTTGCAGCCTCCCTCTGTATGGATGCATCTTGATGTTGGTGTGGCCTTGGACGATCCCATTCATATTGATCCCATGAAGGCACTGTGAAGTTTTTGGGGACTGCCAGTTAGCTATGTGGGCCACAGCTGGGCTTCCGCACTCATTTGAGAAGCTGAAAGCTTGTCTTAGCCAGCAGGTGAAGGTGGAGCTGCATCTCAGGGAAGTTTAGGCCTTGCCTATGAAGGCTGTCATCCAGTCTAGAGAAACAAACCACCAAGAAGCAGATTATCAGGAGGAAAAGCTTCCAGACTGATTGAGTTGCATCCATGCACAAAGCCAGATGATACAGCCTGCAGACCCCCTTCATGCAGGGAAGATCTCGATGGAGGTGGGGGTATAGATAATGTTATAAGGATATTGAGTATTGTGTTTTGGGGCGGGGGGAACAAGCCCAAGGGACCAACACTAACTTCAAAGCTCCCTGAGCTCCTGGGTGATACTAGATTTTCATTTTTTTCTTCTGTGATTTGACTTTAGTATTTCTTGGGAAAAGGCCTTTCAACCAGACTGAAAACAATTGTATTCTTCCAAGGCTGAGCTAGGTAAATGAAGGAACTTCAGAGAGAGTCTTTCCTGTATGTGATTCAGAGGAGAAAGAGAAACAAAGATGATGTGGAGACAGGAAGGCAGGGGGAGAGCAGAGGGACCTCAATTTTGAGACTTCTCTAGCTTGGCATGTCAAAGTTCCATGTGGTGAGGTATTGTGTTCCCCAATATATTGTGTCTTTCAATAAAATTTACCTGAGGATCAGAGGAAAAAGCCAGTCACTATATTAACATAGAAGTCAGGCAATGGTAGCACATGCCTTTAATACTATCACTTGGGAGGCGGGGATCTGTCTGGATCTCTGTGAGTTCAAGGCCACACTGGGAACAGAGCTAGGCATGGTGATACACGCTTTTAATCACAGCACTAACCATAGATGTCTGGAAGTCTATAGATAGACAGGGAGTGACAGAGCTGGGCAGGAAGAGGAAGTGATGTAGCTGGGCTGAGAGAGCAAATGAGAGAACAGAACAGAAAGGCATATAGGAATAGGTAGATAGGAATTAGCTCACTTTGGAAGCTGCAGAGTTGGTGAGGTGAGGTTAGCTGTGGCTTTCCCTATTTCTCTGATTTCTCTCAGGCTTTAACCCCAATTTCTGGCTCTGAGGTTTTTTTTGTTTTTTGTTTTTTTTAAAATTAGTAAGACCGTTTAGCAGTTCATCTACAATCCCACCCTTGGGAGCTTGGGAGCACTGTTTTCTAAATCCTACAATAATTGTTGTAGGTGACTACGGACTGTCAGTGTCTTCTAGAACCCTTAGATCTCAGCAGCCATTGTGAGAATATCAGGAAAATGGGTGGTCATGCTAGAGCCACAGTGAAATATCAGAACTTGTTCACTCCTCTGATGATCACTGTATTTCTGGGTTCACTCTGCGATTTGCAGAGACTCTTCAGGTGTCAGGGCAAACTGAGCCTGCCACCAGGAACCGTTCTAAGCTCTGAGCGGGGAGGAGCCCTTCTTTTTGGCAGCTCCTTGGATATCTCCTGCTGGGAAGCCTTGGTTCTTTGCCCTGTCCTCTCAGCTCAGTGCTACTGGTGATGGCTAGCTAACAGAGAAAGCTTACCTCCCTTTTGGATTTTAACTGTGGGAGCATTATGTTAATTTACCCATAAGTCAACAAGCTGCTAGCTTCCTGGCCTCCCGTTCTTGATCTTAGTCTTAGCACTGTCTAATACTATTTGTGAAACCTAAGTAGATGTGAGAACTGCCTTCCACTTCCGGGAAGTCAAACTTGCTGGCATTAAATGCTGTGGTTTGCATAATGGAATATATATATATATATATTTACCACACATTGTGTTTTAAACTGCTTTAAAAACTCACACATTGAAGATAACAGTTATTTCAGCATGGAATTTACTTAGGAGTTATTGACAGTTATTGTATATGCACTAAATGTATGCAAGGAGATGTTGAAACACAAAGCACCTGGTGAAATGATTAGACAAATTAACAGATCAGTCACCTCACACAGTTACCTTGTATAGTCTCTCTCTCTCTCTCTCTCTCTCTCTCTCTCTCTCTCTCTCTCTCTCTCTCTCTCTCTCTGTGTGTGTGTGTGTGTGTGTGTGTATGTGTGTGTAGAACACTTAGAATCTCTATCTGACCAGTTCCATTGTTATTGACTATGGTCATCATGTTGTCATGCTTATACTTATCTGGAATGTTTCCTCTTATAGTTGAAGGTTTGGATCCTTTGGCCAACACCTCTCCATTTCCCCCAATTCTCTATTTCTGGCAATACCCAACCACTCTATCTCCATATATATGTGAGATTTGTTTTTCTGGTCATGGTTTATTTCACTTTACATGCCCTCTGGATTCAACCCCACCTCTTCAAGTGACAAGATTTCTTTCTTGTTTGAGGCTGAGTAACGCTTTGCTGCATAAAAAGATTCTGTTTTTTCTTTATCTATTCATCCACTGATGACCACTTCAGTTGATTCTATAACTTAGCTTCTGTGAGTGATGCTGTGGTGAATGTAAGACATGTAATAATCCATTTCTTTAACTATACACCCAGAAATTGGGTTGCTTGATCATATGGCAGCTCTATCTTTAATTTTTGAAGAACCTCATACTGTTTTCCATAACTGTTGTACTAATTTAAATCTCATCCACAATGTGAGAAGAAAATTCCAAGATGTCCTAAATTTGGTGACAGCCCATAGGAGGAAAGAGAAGTTCACATTAACTCAGAGCTTCAAGCTTCATCAACATTATGTATTGTTTAGGAGACATCCACCTTGCTCTCTCTGTCTCTGTCTCCCCTGTTCCCCCCAAGTGTATGTTACACTAGGTGATCTGGAGCTTGCTAGGTAGGTTGGCTGGTTATCAAGCTCCAGAGATCCTCTTGTCTCCACCTTGTGCCAGGATTACATGTGCGAGCCACTGTTGGCTTTTTGCATGGGTCTCAGGATCGAACCCAGGTATTTACACTTGTGTGGAACACCTGAACCACCTCCTAGCTTAAGTGGATTTTCTTTAAGTGGATAAACAAAGTTTAAAAGAAAGCAACAAAAGACAAGCATTTCTGGAAGAAGCAGTCCAAAAAAGAGCGTAGGAGCTCCTCAGTAACACACCCACCTTGTCGCTGTCAACTTGTGAGTACACGTTGTTGGCTGTCACACTTCAACGACACGCTGATAGCTCCCCCAAACTACTTCAAAATCACAACCCAAATGTTCCCCCATTTGACCAACTCAATCTAAGTGCAGTTGTGCCACAGCGCTTAGATATATCCAATCTAGACCACGAGCAACAGGTTACTTGATCTTTTTCTAAAATAAGGATTCATTCTCATAAAATAAGGAGAGAAAACATGGAGGAATGAAGTCCAAATAGCTATACACGCATATTGTTTGACAGAGGAGAAACCTTCTAGAGCTAAGTTACAATGGTCTTCCTTCTCTTGGGTACCTGGCCTTGAGCACTGCTCAATCTGCTGTCAGTTTAATAGTGCCACGGTTGGTGTTGTTTAGTAACTATTTCTTCTGTGTTATTTTTCATCATTTTACTTTCAAACTTTTAATCCGTTTTTATTTTCAGCATGTTTCTTTTAAGCAACATATAGCCAAGTTTCATCTTTATTATCTAACACTAAAATCTCTGTTTTAATAAGAATTTTTGGTTACATAAAGATATAATCATTAATGCACACAATATAATGCTTTCTAATGATATTTCTCTTCTGTTTTCTGTTCCTTGATTATGAAGTGATTGTTACTTTTCCACTAGCTTGGTTATTTGTTTGTGTTTTGGAAATTATTCTTGAGATTGCCATACATTGTCTGTATTTGTTAATAATCTATGAATTTTTATCAGTTCTCAGACAAGATAGAAATTTTAAAGGACATAGACACAACAAATTTCATATCCCAAACCTTTCTGACATTGTTGTCATATATTTTAAATCCCATGTGTTGTTGTGTAGCACTGTCTTAACTCAGCTGCAAGTACACACTTGCTCTTTGTCTCCTGTACATTTTCCCCTCTCTGGCGTTATATGCTCTTTAATTAATGAATTTTGATTAGTATTTTCTTTATCTGGAAATTCTGAGGGCAACTTCTTTTGGAAGGCTTTTTTTTATTCTATTTATTTGGCTTCAATTAAAAAATACTTTTTCTTTTTTATATACTTTATTTTATTTAAATAACATTTTTTCCATTTATTTTACATACTGACTGCAGTTTCC